AGTGGTTTGTCTTGCAGCAGATCTGGCTGGCTGAATTTCTCATTTCCTTCACCTGTCTAAAAGGCTTGTTATCCTCCCGCAGCAGTGTGTTGCAGTGAGCTTGTCGCAGATGTTTTTGATTTATGACCAATTCTAAAGCGTGGCTTGCGCTATGTTATTTCACGCCACAACGCAAGGGACAATCAGGAACTAGCTGTGGGTCTAGATACGGCTCAGGCGGCGAGGAAGTGGGAAAGTTGTGGGACAATGGAGAGACATGATGGCGAAAAAGAGCGTGGATCCAGGTGGGAAAAGGGTCCCAGCGTTCTCGCGTACTTTGTTCTTCTAGCTGCTCAGATTTCACAAGTCGTTTTCCACAATGACGGTCATACAAACAAAACAAGCCAGTAAGGTACCAAACAGGAAATATGCATAGTGTAGAGCGGATGTAGATTTGACCAACCAGAGGCCTCTTGCCTGGGCATTGTCTGCGATCACCTACAATTTTGGAGAGGTGAACCAGAATGTCTTTGGAAGGGGCAGTAGAATATCTGCGTTTACTGCGACAAACACGCAGACAACCTGGTTTCTGAGTATAAATCAACCTTAACTCTGCCCTGTTTCTCATCACTGCTAATCCGATCCACCTGCTCCTGCTTCTATTTAAACTGCTTGGTCCAAGCCATCAGTGCCAATTGTTCTTGAGCCGTTGGTGTAGAGAGTTTTCCAGTGTTATTTATAGTCAGTGGTGTCAAAAGTACACACATTTGTTACTTAAGTAGAAGTATAGATACTGCAGTTTAAAAGCACTGTGGTAAAAGTTGAAAAATCAACTTCACCTCTTTACTACAGTAAAAGTGGAAAAGTATTTGCTCCAAAAACTTTAATTATAAATGTATAAAGTAACCTTTAAAAAAACAGGCGGACGAAACTATATTAATTGAAAGCTCGATTTTTCAACTATTTTGAAAAATCCTTTGAGATAGGGCCAAGGATGAGGGAGGTCTTGTTGGTCCCCATCTCCCGATAACCTCTCGCCTGTGTCCGACCTTTCACATATTTCAACATCTTTTTCTGGATCCTACATTGAAGCATTGCATAGACAAGAACACCTGCTTGCTTCTGATCATTTTCTTTGGCGTCAGTACAAATTTGACGAATAGCCAACCAATGTTTGCGTTATATGACTCATCCAATGACACTAGTTTTCACTAGATGCGGATGGCGCCAATGATCTGCATTGGATGGCGCACAAGATGTGAAATAAATATTTATAAACATTAAACCAGTGGTACGAATTAAATATCATTGGGGTCTGAATAAAGAAAATCACCAACCAGTAAAGTTCCGGAGACATTTTTAATTATAATCTGTTACTTTAAACAGAATTTAACACTGAAAAAAACAAGGTATTTATGCATTCATACACTGAATTTTTAAAGGAAAATTCCGGTTTTTAACACTTTTAGCCCATTT